AATCTGCAATCTCCTGCAGCATGTATCAGTTCGTGTACTGACACACCTCCATGCAATGCAACAAGACTTTCAAGAATCTTTTCTCGTTGTCTTCCTTTTTTTTTTCTCCTTTCACAAATCTTTACATTAGTCACAGAATGTTCCATGTTCCCTCTTCTCATAACATGGCCGATTTTAAGTCTCCTTCTGATGTCTGTGATAAGTTGTCTTTGGGCTCCCACCTCTGTCAAAACCTCTTGTTTGCTCTTTTTGGCTGTCCAGGGTATTTTAAGCATTCTTCTGTAAAACCACATCTCTGTGGCATCAAAAAACGAGAGAGATATATTGCATAGGACGTTCTTTATTTTAAAAAAAATGCACTTTTTGCATATCCTATTCTGTTTCGTATCTCAGTAATACATCTTCCATCTGATGGTATCCATGTGCCCAGGTACTTACATTTCTGTACTTGTCCCAAAAATTGGCTTTTATTACACATTTAGAAATAATTCTTGTCTCTGATACCACTATTACTTTATGTGCCTTGCACTTCTGAAGTGGTGGATATGTTTATCATTTTGCAAGTTTCAGCTTCACAATTTATCCAGCTCTGTCTCAGACAGAGAATCTATACTCTGAAAGACTAATTCAACGGTGTGGAAGGGGGTGGGGGCGCGATTGATTCGAGGTTCTGGAAGATAGCCAACACTGAGGAGGAAACATAGCTGGATTATTATTCAGGCTGCAACAGATTCTATTAGAATGTAGACTCTTAATTGTCTCGCCATCCCCACAAATGCTGATAGATCTATTAAAAAGGTTGAGTTACAACATATGCATCATTACATTTCAAGACAGGAAACTACTTTATTTTGACCACTCACTTGTCTCAGGCCTCAAGTCAGACCTAGCTGGTGAAAAAGCCATGTGCCGTCAGCTAGAAGCTCAAGGACTCCAGCCCATCTCTCGGGAAGCAGGCAGCTGTTTGGCTAATAAAATCAAAGCTAGCCATTATATTGAGGTCTCAGCGTTAAAATATTTAGGAATAGAAGAGGTAAGCTAGTATATGTTTTGTATCTAAGTTTTTAACATATATCTGTATAAAGTAAACGACCCTTATTCACACCTTCCGGCACATTGGGCATAAAATGTTAGTCCTTTATTTTATAGAACATTTGGGTACTCTTCCTATATGCCCGATGCGCTTAAAGCGTAAAAAGGGATCTTTACCTACTTTAATAATGATAACAGCTAATAAGAAATCAATGATATCAGAGATAAGATGCAGAATAAATGCAGAAAAGGCAGCATTCCACCAGATAAAGAACATTGTGTGTTTATTCATGTCAGTTGAAGTGACATAAAGATATTTTATTTCAGAGACAAAAGATATGCAACTAATTTTATTATTATGAGATTGAAAGTAGAGATGTTTGTGACAACCAGAGTAATTCAGAGTATCAACTGTTGCATGAAGATGCCTGCAATCCGGCATATGCGCCTGTTACAAATCCCTGATAAAGGGTCACTGCTGCGACCAGTCCTTGACAAGTTTAGTTTACCGCATTAGTCCTGTTTGCACCTGCGCAGTGTTTAGGAGGGCTGGATATGATTATATTTATTTAACTTGCATGAGGGGAGTGGAGGGAGGCGTTAAAATGTGAAGACTTTTTTTTAGTCAATAGGTCGATAGATTGTCATAATTCTCCTTTAGCCTTCAGCAGTCAGGGTCACAGTATGGGTCCTTGCGTGAATTTCATTTTCAGCTAAAGGGACTGCTCCAATCATGTTTATAAACGACTTCCTTTCACATATTACGCTATATAAAACTCTATATACACATCTTAAGTTAAAAAAATATATTGGTGACCTGTGTTTTTCAAGAATTTTCGCGGGGTGTGAATTCTCAGGTTCTGGTCTTTTCCCCCTGAAAGTGTATCTAGGACAAAAAAGTTAGACTAAAGGCAAAGTAAGTCAGTAAAGAACCCCTCTATCATAATGGCCACTTTTAAGAGATCACTTTCTCTAGGTGATGCCAGTGTGTTGGAATATGAGCAGGCAGACAGACTGGCAGATCTGCACCACCTAGTGGTGAACTTATGTATGAAAAGCTATTTGTCGTGAAGGCCCTTTGGGAGTAAGTGAATATTGCAGAGGTACAAACAGATCATTACGGTCTGAGCAGAATGGCGCTGTGAGGAGTTATCAGGGAATCAGGCCTATGCTCAACACTCATTGCATGTTGCTGAAGATGGGGACCGAGCACTTATGGGAGTGTCCTGAGTGCTGTGATGTCGATCACTTGCACTGCTAGACATCACACATGATAATAATGATGAAGTAATTCATTTCAATATTTCCATGTCCTGTTTATGTTAGCTTTAAATTTTTCACTGATGTATGATTATTTTTTGTATTACAGCTGAAGGATAAGACAGTGTTTGACTATATGAACCAGAATGCTACACAACATATAAATAGCAAGACCAGATGTTCAGTCATGTGAATGTATCGTACTAGTCTTATGTCTAAAAGGTCTGTTATATTTCACAAAGTAAATGACTATTTTCCACACCTTCAGGCATATTGAGAATATAGGGCTAGACCTGTATGTTATAGACCAATCGGCTCTTGGTGGGAGATGAGGTCAGCATCATGAGAGCTTCCTTGACTTCCCAGGACTGCACCTGGTACCCACTCAAAACTGGGAGCCAAGGTCATTTTTTTAAACGCACAAGAGCATCTAACCACTAAGCCAGGGCGACTCCCACTAAATTTTACCAGGAATTTTCAAACCTTTACATGACTGGTGTAAAAAAAAAGGGTCCGTCGTATTTGTTATTTACTTTTTTGTATTCACTGAGTGTGTGGTTGAAACTGACAAGAAGAGCAGAAACACATTGGCCTCACAAACTAATGACAATTCTTACATGTATTACAAATAACGCATGACATTTGAAGCATAAAAATATGTGTGGCTCACATTAACATAACAATCATCCACATGACTTACAGATGCACAAAATCATACATGTGATTTATACATATATTCAATCACATAATAACGTATTCGTGCAACACCAAGGCGGCACCAAATTATAACTGAAAGGAAAAGGAATAGGCAATCATGTGAACCCAAGTTTCTTTTCTTTTTAATTAATTTAAAGTGAAATATTCATGGAATTTAGAATGCATTTTGCAACTAAATGTGGTTTTTATCACCCTAAAAAATACATAAATGAGACACACAATAGCTAACAGCAATGTTAAAATATCACAGCTACAGGCACTTATTTCAAACATATAATGAATGGTTTGGGTGGGGGCAAATCTACTGTTCTCTAACAACCAGACTAAAAAAAATGAGTTCGACGGAAAGGCATGGAAACCGCAGCCTAGCTGTAAACCACAATACAATGTGTCGACCATGGCAATAAAGTCAAAAATATAAAGCACATAAAATGATGAACTGTACTAACAGACATATTGTTAATCAATTTTCTGGAACTTAAAAAAAAGGAAGCATTTACATTTAGAAACTTGATCCACTTACAGACATCAATGCATGGCATTAATCACAGAATTCACCCCATCTCGCTTGCATGCGAGATCTCGTGGTCATTCCCACAGGTTGTCCTTTCTTCTAAGGGTGTTATGAGATGGCTCTCATTGCTGTTGATACACAGTGTGGCGAAAAGTGACTGGCATTCATTTCGATGAGGTCGACACACTTTCTCCCAGTTGCAACTGCACAGCTTTGTTTTCGCTACTGTCTTTTGTGGGAACAAGTGTTATTTCTGGAGTGTGCTGTTGTGAGTAGCTCATCCACTGCAGACGGCTATGTACATGGAAGAGGTTCTGAAGGGGGAAGCACCAACCGCGTGACAGTTCATGAGTATCGAATCATTGATGTTTTTGTATTTTTTAACGCTTGTTGGCGGTGGCTATGCTTAAAACAAGCAACATCTGACAACCCTAGAACATATAACAGCCCCAGGGAATGGCCACAAGATTCCAATGCCTTTCTACCACTAAAATAGAAACAGTAAGATCCATTTACTTGCCACAACATACTGTGTTAACAGCTGTTGCGGAGAGTATGTCAGTGGCCTTTACTTGCACATAACCGTCTAGCATAAGTGTAGCACCATTGGCAGGTGGATAGTTGTTCTAAGAAGAGAGGCTGAATTATATGGGATAAAACCCGGCCCAGTGAAGTCTATTCTCTCGATTTTAACCATCAACAAGTTTCATCTGACTAAATTCCACATCATTTGTCATACTGATAAGCATGTATGACTATGGCTCCTCTCACATGATCGTTTGTCTCAGACTTGATCCAGTAATGTTATGGTGATGTCATCCAAGCACCTCTGTGTCTGTTATTTAGGGAGACTTTTCTATTTGGTGATCCACAGACACAAAATCCTCAACTTCCAAATGCAATCCTTTCTGTGATTCAAACATTTATGCTCTTCTTCGTGTTCAGCGGCTGTAAATGCTGGTGGAAAGTTCTGGGTATGTGTCCACCTAGGACTTAAGTCTGGTTCCAGAACCTGAGTGTTGCGTGCACATTGTTTTGCACATCTGACCTGTGTGCAGATTGCTGGTTTCTTGCCTCTCAGGCAGATGCTCTCTGACTTTGAAGCAGGCTCCTAGTTAATCGACTATTTCAACATGCTTGTTGCGGAGACAGTAGGTCTGTTCTTGTTTTTCCAAAAATTGGACCCTGGTACCCACACGAGGACTAACATTTATATAATAAGTTCTTTAGTATGTACATTCAAAAGAATAAAGTCTGTAGCAAACTTTCCTAAATAAGATGTCTATAGGTGTTAGCTTGGGAACCACTGGTTTAGGGAATCAGGAGAGTTTTTCATCTTATTCAAGTATTTACTCTCTGTCTGCCTGCTGCTCTTATCCTATCATGCTTGCCAACTGTCACTAAGTTATCAAGTTGCTGTTTCCAGGTAACATATCCAGCTGGCTGAGAACACGAAGTATGTCAATTATGTTCTTTTTCAAGATTTAAATTTCAAGTCACAGATCAAGGCCAGGTGATCAGATGGGAAGACAATACTTGGAAGAGCAATATTTGCAGTGACATCCTCATGACTGGGCATTGGAACAATCTGTGTTACTTGCAGCTTGTCACTGTCGATGAAGATGTAGTCGAGTGTCTCCTGAAACCCTCTTGTGAAATTTGTGTAAGGTGGAGTCCCACAGGCACTCTCAATGTTCATTGGCTGGTGAAGTTCTAGACCTGAGATGAGTTCTTCACTTCCACCTGCAAGGTTTACAAAAGTATCGAATTATAACCAACTCAATCATAAATAATATATTAAAGCCAATCCCTCCCAAAAAATATCAAACTACAATCAAATCAATGTCAAAAAAATGCATTCAGGCCAATCCTTTCCCAAAGGTATTGAAATTAAATCAACTCAATGTTAAAAAATAAAGCCAATCGTTCCCAAGAGTATTAAATTGCAATCAATTTAATGTTTAAAAACAAAAAACATTAAAGTAAATATTAAAAGTAAAAATTGTAATATTGCTTCTCCACATTTCATGACCTTCAACAGAATTCTTCTTCTTGTGCCTTCACACTCAGATGGAAGGTTGGACTTGGTGTGTTGTGGATTTTCTGCTAGAATAACATCTGTACCTTTCTGGCCCAGCATATATGATTACAGCAAACTCCCCATCCTTTTACGATATGCTCGCTAGAGGGTGTCGGTCTATTCTCTTCCTCCTCTCCCTCCAAAATTGGGGGTCCTAGAATTCACAGAGGGAAAACAGAACATCTGCTGACACTTTTTATTGCCATGATAACAGACTGTCAAGAATCCATACCTCTAACAACAATTTGTCTACTTAAACCAATATCTTAGTGTTGCAAGATAACTATTGAAACGGAAATGGCTACAGAACTATAAATCTGTACCCACACTGTGTGTATGTGTGTGTGTGCGTATACATACACAAATATATGTGAGTGTGTGTGTGTGCAAAACACAAAGGACATGAGATACCTTTCTAAAGTAAAAATATAGTAACTTGTAATGTCATGTTAACATAAAAGCTTTCTATTCAAATGTGGGGCATGCAGTCCTAGACTAATAATTGTTTATATCTAACCCGCACTTGATGGGCGATGTGGTCAACACCATACTGACTGCCTTTACTTTCTAAGAGATTTTCTTGTACCTATTTTATGTGGGTCCAGGTGGGAGTGATGGTCAATTATAACCTTCGAGTGACTGCAGCATTGGAGGACTCTGAATGCATAAGAATGCCCAATGTGCAGAGACATCAATAGTGATAATATAACATAAAAGCTTTTAGTACAACTAGTCACCAATGTAAAGTATTAAATTTGGAACAGCTTTTCAAGAATTCTTCTTCTTTCTTCTTTGTTCATCGGATGTAAGATCTGGCAGAATATCCTGGTTGTTAATCCATTTAGACTTTTCTTTTGTGCCAAGGACTAATTTTGGCGTGTACATCTATTTTACCAGCTTATTTGTAGGCGGTTGGTTTTTTCCTTGTTGCTCTGGCAGAGGCACTCTGACACTGAAGGAAGTCCCCTATTAGTCAACTCATATGACATGTTTGTTGGGGAGGCCATGTTTCTTGCCGTTTGGGCAGATGGACTTTGATTATGAAGGAAGTCCCCAATTAGTCAACTCCTAGAACATGCCTATTAGGGAGGCAGTGGTTTATTCATGTTATCCCCACAATAAGGCCCCGGAATCCACAGCGGGAACTTTTCAAGAATTGATTACTGCACTGCAGCAACAGTCCTCTCACCTGAGTTCCAGTCAGCATGGTCAGATGGGATATACTGAGCCGTCAGCAGCTGGTAATACCCAGGTGAGGGCCGCTATTGAAGTCACCACAGAAAACCAGTGAAATGTTCTTGCCCTGTGCCAATAGAAAATATCAGTTGTTAAAGATGTATAATATGTAACAAACAATTGCTCACGTGAAGAAACATATATACATGTAATGACATATAATAAGAGAACTATGAATGAAAACAGACTTGTTGACAGAAAGAGATTTGTGAAATATGTGAGCCATAATAAAAGGTATAACACTTATAAAAGCTATACTTGACGAAAAGGCTAAATACAAGTAAGCAAGAGGCAGGCTGTTGAGAGATACAAGTGGAATGATAACATCAAAAGATGAACAGTAGTCTGAGATAGTGTACATCCATGGTGAAAGACAAGAGCATGTGGGAAAGCCATTACAGCCAACCTTCATTGTGGCGATGGCATCTGAATGATTAACTGAAAGAATGACAGGTTTGGGGGAATGACTAATTTCTAGACCACAAAACAAAAGAGTACAAATTAACTATCTCATCCCCAGCAGTGGATGCACATCACAGACCTGAAGCAATGTATGCCAGCACTGCAAGCTGTACAATGCAACATCTAAATATCTCAACATTGGGTTTATGACTCTCACAGGCCATGCCACAACATAGCACTGACACAACATGGCATAGAATAAGTGCCTGGATGTTCTCTAGGAGCTCCATTTCAATAGGTCTGATCACAGAGGTGAAAACAATATCTCGTCAATGGCAAACATCTTGCTCTGGTGATCAAGCCATGTTTCTCTTTGGAAAATCACCTTGTTCAAAGTTTAAGTGTTCCGAGCACAGCTGGTATCAACGTTGAGCATATCTTTATCTAAATAATATAATTACTCTTACTTTTATTTTATTTCACTTTACCTGTTATAGTTACCATCAACGTTTTATTTGTATTTTTTTTTTTTTACTATTACTGCTACTGATGTTACTTTTACTATCATTTCTATTACGATGATCATTACATCTATTACTTTTTTTGATTATATGTAATGTTATTAACATTTTAGTTCCTTTATTTATTTCATTTGTTCCAAATCACCTTTTCCATTACCTGTATGTTATAGTTATTTACGTAATCAACAGTGACCAGCATACACTCCCCTTTGTTGCTGTGGTTATATATAGATAAAGGCTGCTACTGAAATGTCACTGTTCCAGTGTTTGTGTTTTTCCTCTTCTCACCTTCATTAGCTTCTCAGTCACAGCTTAATGGATTAGTTTCTCGAAACTAGCTTGGCTGCAGTCACCTGTGTTTTTATCCCTTTATAAAAATGATGCAATCCTGACTTTGGACACTAGATAGATTTGAACACACTAGATTTTAAAGAATAAGAGCTAATTATTTACTGACCTCCAGTGTATATGTATCACAGATGTTCTGCAGATACCTCAGAGCTCCGGCCGCATGTACCAGGCGAATGTTGCAAGCTTGTGGGTGAAAGTACAGGTGTGTATTTGCTATGCACACATAACTGCCAGACTTTTCTGCGCTCTCAGCCACTGTAACCTAAAGTACGAAGATTCAACAACAAGCAACGAGACATTTACATGACAATATTTTACAGTTGTAAGATTATCTTGTTTCCCAGGTTGACCCAGCCTAAAATGGGTACCAGGTACAGGCCCAGGGAAGTAAAGGCAGCTGGCATTACTCACTGAGTGGTACACTGGCCTATAAACATGTCAGTCTAGCATCATTTGAGCAGGGCACCATAGAAAGGCCCTTTACATTTCACTTAGGTTTCAAGGACAGACTATAACTTCAACTATTCCAGTTTCATATGTTACTTTCTTTCTTAAACGTCCTCTTTTACAGCACTGGATGTCGAGGGAGATATAAGGTTCTGCTTTGTGCTTTTTTGGTTGCTTCGACCATAGACACATTGTGGTACTGTAGAGTTTCTCTGATGTTATCCTTCCATCTTGTTCTTGGTCCACCTCTTGCTCTAAGTCGGCCTCCTCTTTTGGTATATGCCTTGAATGTTATAGCATCAGAAGGCATTCTCTCCAAGTGGGCTAACCATTTGATTTGCTGTCTTTCTATGTAATTTAGAATTGGTTCTGTGAATTGGTTCTGTGCCGACTTTATCTCGTATGACCTTATTCCTGATTGTATCTCTTCTGGTCACTCCTACAGCTCACATTTTACTTAGATGTGAATAATCTTTCTATGTTAATCTTGTCATGCATCTTTTGCTACCACCATGTTTCCTTTCAATTTATGGCCTTTTTTTTAAAATTATACTGATATTTAGATGCACTGTAAATTGCACAGGCAGACCTACAAGTGACAGCAAAACAGCAGAAGAACAGATAGATAAATACAGACAGACATATAGATAGATGGGTGGGTGGGCATGTAGACAGACAGGCAGATACACATATTCTAAAATTACCCAACCTATTCATAAAATATACTATGTATGGTTCAGATACAGTCATGTGTATCTGTCTAGGGTTATCTATATGCACTGAAAGTCATCCTTTACAAACTCCAAGCAAACCAGCTTTAGCAATGTGAAACTCACCTGTAGGATTGTGGATCTCTGTTCAATCTTCTCTTTAAGAGTCTGACTTTTACAAACTTCTGACCAAATATCGGCACAGAGTGGGTCTGTGGCCAGAAAGGGGGACAGTGATACATCCAGTTGCTTGACGACCCTGGAGGGGGAAAAATACAAGACTATAATTGAGTTACACCACTGACATGGTTTCTGATCAGTGATAAGAAAATCACACCAAGGAAGAGACTGAGGCTTCATAACATGTTACGCTATTAGCAGAATCTACATCAATGCATTTAAGGCATTCCCATTATGCTCAGTCCTCCACTGATGCAGCCTTCTCTAGGTACCTCTACTGACTGTTACCATGATAAATTGGTAAAAATGTCTCCCATCTTAACCTTGAAGACAGCACCGATGTGCTTCAAATGGCTTGATTCCAAGGTCAAATAATCATGTAGCATCAGTTTCATCATTATCTACCTCTATAGTCGATTTAGCGTTGATGATACCATATAATATTCCCCCCCAAAAAACAAGTGAATCATCAGAGATGTCAATCTATATTATCCCTGCCATTCTACACGTTTTCCTATTTATTATTTTTCAAAGTAATGGTTTTTCTGGTGTGAATTCCCAAAATGTGGATACACACAATTCACTGCATGATTTATTAATTGCGTAGTTAACTGTATTTTGTTACTTCCAAAGAACAGATTTTATAGTAACACAGAATGAATCCTTTCAACAAAGGAACACAAATCCCACTGCCTATTTCTCTATAATGAAGTGCATCACAATAGCATTAGATCTGGGCTATTTAACTGGCGGCTCACAGGCCAGATGTGGCCCACCGATGGCTGCCACTGAAATGTAGTATTTAGAAGACCAAAAAATTTAATCAATGTTTTTGAATAAATCTTCAAAAACCAGTAATGTTGAATGTGACAATAGGAAGTATTTGTCAAGGATCTCTAAATGTGAAGATACAAGAGAACGGGCATATGAACAGACAATACCAAAACTGGGAATGCCTCAGGCATGGAAATGTAATAAGTTCATGGTAAAAGTTACTTCAAATAGCAGAAATCGCCTGTCTGGAGCCAAAGGTAATAAGACAGGCTGGTAAGAATCAAGTCAACAGTAGGAAGCAGTCGCTCCACTGGACAGTCAATGAAGGTGACATATTTGCTGGACAGAAAAATATGAGCTCAGTCCAAATAGTTCAGCGCTTAGATTACCGACAAACTCTCCCTAGTGGTGACCCCTAGTACACAAAGACTAATGACAATGGATGCTGCAGAACATTAGTGACACTGTGCGCTGCAGAACATTAGTGACACTGTGCACTGCAGAACACTAATAGTAATGTTGTGTTCAAATTTTTCTTGAATGTCCAGTGTGCAAGTCACAACCAGACACAGATTGCCAGCTGCGATTGTGTAGTAACAAACTGAAACAGTAACACTGTTTTAATCAAGTTATCTAAATTTTAATAATTTAGTTAAATACTTGATGCCATGGCTGGTACTAGTTAGAAAGCAAAGTGGGAATGTGAAAATCGTGCATTCATCAATAACAGGACACTAAAATATTTATTTATATCAGGACACTAAAATATTTATTTATATCATCAACTATGTCTAATTCAAAATTAATGTGCTTGCTATGCAACGAATGTGTGTATTCGAAATTAATGTGCTTGCTATGCAAGGAATGTGTGTCAGCAGCAAAGAAGTATAATGTGAAGCGGCACTTTACAACGAAACATGCTGACTTTGGAAAATCATTTCCAGAAGGTTTCGCTGCTAGGAAATCAATGGTTGTTTGTTGATTGCTGCTTATCAGCATAGCAGCAGAATTCTTGTGCGATCTTGTACTCAAGACAGAAACTATGAAAGAATGCATACTGGCAAATCTGGATGAGATAGCAGTTGATGATAAAATAACAAGCAGAATTTGTGTCAGTTGCCATTGATGAATCTACAGACATCATAGACGTGGCTTAGTTATGTTTATATGTGCGTTTTTTCAATGAAAACTGCTTTCGTGAAGAACTTCTAACTTTAATATCATTAGAAAATTTCACCACTGTAGAAGTTTCTTCTGACAAGATTAAGTTATTTTTGACAAAAGATTGACTTGATTTGAATAAAATTTGTTTATTGGCAACAGACGGGGCACCGTCAATGTTAGGTAAGCACCAAGGTGTGACCGCCAGACTTTCTGCAGTAGCACCTCAGATGCAGTCCCTACATTGTCTTATTCATCAAACTGTTCTGTGCAGCAAACTGAGCGACACGATGAAGAAAACAATGAATATGGTGATGAAAATAATAAATTTCATTCTATCCTCATCAAGATTTAAGCACCGGTTATTTCGGCAGTTGCTAGAAAAAAACGTAAGCAGATTACAAAAACTTATTTCTGCACAATGACATTTGTTGGCCGAGTAAAGGAAAGCACCTGATCGTTTTTGAAGTATCAAAGAATAATATGTTTTCTCAAAAACTGTTCTCATAACAAGGCAGAAAAGTATATGAAAGTATTACATGACAGTACATTTTTGGCAAATGTTTATTTTTAAATGATTTGTACATGTATTCCAATTAAAGTATTACTTAATCATTACAAAAGATTGTAGTACAGTTTACATTATAATGGTTTACAACAGTGTTTCATTTATATTACCGTAGGCTAGGGCTAGGGCACCAAAGCCTAACAGTGTATTAAATTTACACATTGACAGTTTTCTCAACCGTAGTGTGTCAATAATCTTCCCACACTTGGCTGGGCCACTGGCCTGCGACAAAATCCCCATTTTCATCATTCTGGCCCATATGTAAACTTAGTTGAAAAGCCTTGCCTTAGATGTATAGTTCCTCTTTTATATCTGAAGAAAGAAGATGTATAATTACTTTTTCAAATTGTAGATAGAACTTGTAGGTGTATGGTTACTATTTGAAACAGCAAATAGTAGCTGTATAGCTACTTTTTGAAAATGTAGATAGTAGGTGTATAGCTCCTTTTTGAAACTGTAGATAGTGTATAAGTTACTTTCTGAAACTGTAGATAGCAGATGTATAGTAACTTTGAAACTACTTTTTGAAACTGCAGAATAACAGAGGAGCAGCTGGCAAAGCCATTAAGAATGCTGGACTTTCATTACAGAGTCCCGGTTTGAATCTGTGATAAGGTGATAGAATTCTTTCTTGGATGCAAAAAATAAAATCCTAAATCAGTCCATGGCAAATGTATTAGCCATGAAGCTCTAAATGCTCTGTCTTAAGACCCAGCACACCCTTTTTTGGGGGCCCTACATCACCCTAAAAAGTGGTAAATACCTGAAGTAAAGACGGGATATCACTAATGTTGAGCTTTGGGTGATAGCTTAACAAGTTCTAGGGGAGCAAGAGATGATGTCTTTGGTTAGGACACATGTTGAGAAAACCTGACAACAATATAATTAGAATGTCTTTGCAATGGAATCCACAGGGGCACAGAAATAAAAGCAAACTAAAAAACATAAGCAGAAAGGAACTAGAGAGAAAAGTTAAAACGACAGGGAGGACAGGGGGTGAGCTGCATGCAACAGCAAAGGAAAGAACGACTTGGTGTGAGTTGGTTGAGGGCTTCTGCCCAGATGTTTGAGAAAAGCCATGAGCAAAACTAGAAGAGATCTTTTGAGAAACAAAGGTATTAATTAAAGGAGCTACTGAAACAACACCTATTTACTGGAAAAAAAAAGGAACTGAAAATGGGTTGGCCATCTAGTGAGAACGAGAGCATACATCATGTAAGTGGAAACACCAAGTGGTAGAGGATGACCTAGAAGAATATGGACTGAATGGGTCATTGATACCTTGTAACTCCACAGGCCAGCATACGAGGCAATCAAGCTTGCACTAGCTCTGATGCCGATCATCTGTTAACCTGCGATGCCTATCAGCACGAAATATGGACCTCATTCCCCCCCTTCCTCCCACCAAAAAAAGTAGACAGAAAGGATGAAGCAACATAAATGAATACCTAAACTTCCTTTCAGAAATAAAGGTGGCACATCCTTCTGAGGTCCCGCCATCTTTAGCCCGAAACAGGCCCGTGTAACCTAAAGCCTGCATGGCTGGCATCAGCTGTGAGCCAAAGATGGACTTGTCCACCTCCTGTAGACACAGCAGATCTGCCTGATAGCCTGCAAGTATAAACACCACCTTTACCAAATCTGACAATTCAAATTGCATCACAGAGTAAAGCTAAGGAGCGCTGGGCGAGACACACAGATGGACTTGTCCACCTCCTGTAGACACAGCAGATCTGCCTGATAGCCTGCAAGTATAAACACCACCTTTACCAAATCTGACAATTCAAATTACATCACAGAGTAAAGCTAAGGAGCACTGGGCGAGACACACAGATGGACTTGTCCACCTCCTGTAGACACAGCAGATCTGCCTGATAGCCTCTTCCACCTTGTACCTCATCGAAGTGTCGGGGGGAGATGTAATGTTCGTTGATGAGCTCTGTCAAGAGCACTATTAAGACTGATGTTCATTTCTGTAAGGCTGTTCTTAATGCCATCACTCCATCTTTTCCGAGGTCTTCCACTCGCTTTATACCCGTTGTAACGTTTTAGTGTGGCTCGCTGTGGCAGATAGTACCAGGGCATTCTTGTTAGGTGTCCAAACCATTTCATTTGTTGTTCTTTGATGACCTGTAAGACTGGCTTTATTCCTAGCATTCGTCTGATTTCATGATTTTGTATTCTGTCTTTCTTGAAACTCCTGCAGCTCTTCTAAGGCATTTCATCTCTGTTGTCACAATTTTACGTTCATTGGAGGATGTAAGTGTCCACGTTTGGCACTGATAGCATAGTATTGGCCAAAAAATAGTTCTGATCAAAGATTCACTTTAGTACTCTGAGGTATCTGCTTGTGTGTCAACAGGGAGATAGTTGGCCCATTACTTGATTAGCTTTGGCACATCTGGAGCTAATTTCTCTGTCCAGTTTTCCGTCTGAAGTAAAAATTGCTCCCAAATACTTAAATTCCTCTGTTTGTCTCAGGGTGTTGTTTTTTAATTTAATTTCTAAATTGTCTTTATGTCTTCCTATCATCATTGTCTCTGTCTTCGTAGTGTTTATTTTCATATTATATTCCTCCCCTTTGTTACTAATTTGATTTAGGTGGTTCTGTAGGCATTCCATATTTTCTGCTATTAGTACCTGGTCGTCGCACCTTTACAAAATCTGACAATTCAAATTACATCACAGAGTAAAGCTAAGGAGCGCTGGGCGAGACACACATGGGAGAACAATATTATTCTGAATTAATAAAACTGTTATGAATCTGTACTGTCCTTTAGAAATGTGGGTCACATGTTGTATGGTGGTTAAGAGCTAGGCTGTGATATTTATATGTCTGTAAGCCTAAAACTGTCTAGCAAACCCCTTTGGTATCACTCTGGGAGCCATTGAGTCCGTAATGTTTTTCCCACAAAATGGGGCCTGAAACATACATTAATATAGCTTGTGCTGACCTGGTTTAATCAAAAGAAAGGATTCTACCTCCCCTTTTGTCCTGTGGTAGTGGACTGGGAATGTAGCGCTATCAGAAGGCCCTGTGTTCACTGTTCATTGTAAAATCCATCTTCATCGCACATGACCATTAAAGCCCCAATCTCTTTCTGAGTATGTCTCCATCATTTTCCACTAAACTGAAAGCTTGGTGCATTTCATATTTATGTACATATTATTAACAATGAAAGCCTCTTAAAATTTGAGATTTCAAAAAGAGCAGACCTAATAGACCACTTCCTACAAGTATTTCAGCAACCACCACATTTTTACTCAACACATCGACACTACCCATGACAAAAAATATTTATAATATGTGTGATTCTGAAATGTACAAATCTGGATCCTCATGGTGTGACCTATGGGAGCAGACTGAAGAACTAAGCCACTATCTGGCCTGTTTTGGATGAATCTGCTGAGAAGCACAACCTGTGCATGGAAAAGTGAGGACGCTACCACAACTTTTAGAGTGTGGCTAAAAAAAAAAAAAATAAAGAGCCCATTTCACAAAAAAGTTTCTTTTTCTTCTTTGCATTTCTCGGCGGTCAACTCTAACAGAAAGTTTTGGTTGTTTGTCCCCTATGGGACTTTGGTCTTGTTCCAGAGCTTGAATGTTGTGTACACACATCTGTTATACAGATGTAGCTTATTGGTATGCAGACTATCAGTTTAGTTTTTCACTCTCAGGCCAATGCTCTCTGACTTAAAAGAAAACTCGCCTAATAGGTCAACTTTTAATAACTGCATTTTTTTTTGGGGGGGGGGGGGGTGTCTTTTCCTATATCCCTTAAACGGGCCCAGGAACCCAGACAGGAAGCAAGAAGGTTTGAGAACGAGTAATAACATTTTTCCACAAATAAAAGAAAAGGAGCTAGTCTTAGCACAGTGGCTACATGCTTGGCTGCAGGCCTAAAGGTCCAGGGTTTCAATGCACATTGGAATGGATTTATTTATAATGACCCGGAATCCCAAGTGACCCAGCCTTAATTTGGTTTTAGGAAATATCCCGGGAAGCAAAGGCAGTCAGTGCAACAATGACATCAGTAAGTGGGACACAGAATGGTCTGCAAAATTATCAGTCCAGCTCCAAATGCCTAATGGTTGGTTAGCTGAGTTGAACAAAAAAATGTTTTTAAATTGTCCACGTTCAACTAGACCCTTTATCAAAACATCTTTTGGTTAAAATGTTGGACTGTTTTTCTTGTGCCAAGTTTACAGGCTGAAAGTGGGTTTTTGTGGCATGGTTAATGGCTAAGTATTCCTATCTGTTTACAGTGGTGTTCATTCCTGCATGTCTTGGTCTTTTATGCTGGTGCGGTTGGGGGTTCCTATGCCTCCTGTTGTTTGGCTGTAGCTGTGTTATTTACATGTCAGCTTGCGATATTTGTACATCCTACTGTAAAGATTTGGTTGTGATCTTCTGAGCTCCTTTTTGGTTTTATGTTGGTGGTGTGCCCAAGTACTTGATCTAGGTCCTGTTCAGGGTTCTTTTTGGATAGTCTTTTTTCTTTTATGAAGAGCTGAGACTGAACGCAGTCAACACTATAGAGTCCCGAGATCAGTCAGCCCTTGTAAGGACCTCAGCTAGCCACAAATGGCCTCAGCTAGACATGCCCAATGGTCTACGAGTCTTTTGACAGATGAGGGTTTTTACCAGTATTACTGAGGTGTCTCAAAGGAACATGTGAAACATGGTTAGTTAGTAGAGTATCCTTTATAGCATTGTTTCCCAAAATTGTCTTAGTCGCTGCGCCTTTTTCCAATAAAAATTGTCCCAGTTCGCCCTAACATAAGTAAAAGTATGACTATTCGTATGTAAAAAAATAAAACCGCAGCTGGAACTGAGCCTGGTATCATGGAATTACAAAACATGTTCACAATGCCTAAACCACAGATGCTGACAGAATATATATGCAGTTAACAATTATAAAACAACCTATGATTTCCTTCAGCAACAGATGTTTCCTATAATCCATTTCCAAAGCATGTTTAGGACAATAGCTGAAAAGTTCCTGTCTGGCTAAATCAGTATCTGCATACACTTGGGCTAAAAGGTTGTAGGTCAAAACCCTGAATCTGAAATGAAGATGAATATAATTCTCAACACAGGGAAGTGAAAGAGCTAATCATGCATAGATAACAGCATGTGTATAGATCTGTCACCTCAACTTAATATAGATTCTCCTCCTCCTCATATGTGTAGGTTTCACAGACTCCATTTTGTGTAGGGAGGGAAGAGAAGGGGGGGGGGGGAGAGAAAAGACTCACTGCCCTCTATAAAGCATTTTGTAAAAGTTGATTAATTAGGGGTGTTTCCTTCGAAGTCAGAGTGCATCTTCCTGAAAGGTGAGGAACTAACAGTCTGCAAACAAAGAAGCCAGATCGGTAAAATGGGAGTGCACGCAAAACTCAAGATTTAGAACTAGACCACAGTCCAGTAGGGGACTAACAACCTGAACTTTCTGCTGGAGTTTACAGACGATGAACACTAAGAAAAAAAAATGAAGAAAATTAAAGCCAGGTTCTCAACACCCCCTTCCCCCCTTAACTTTCATTTTGTTCTGGTTGATAACGATGGATGGCTCCTGCAAAGTTTTCCAGTCTCCTATATCCAACTGGTACACCCAGGATATGTAGTCTATTCAGTGTAAAATCATTTTCCATGAAACTGAAAGCCTCACAGCGTGTAGTCTCTCATATGGCATTGATGGTCTCTCCTGTCCATGGAGGGCACATTCCTGATAGTCACACTGCCAGCCAGAGCATCTGCTCTCACACTGACTTCAACACCAGCATACCCCGATGTTGTTAAAGGTAACTAATTAGGGATTTGCTAAAATTATATGTGTTGGGTTGAAAGACAAAGATATCGCAGCCTAGCTGTTCTGTGTGAATGCAGAAAAAGAAGAAGAAACTATCAGATTACAATACTGCTAATTGGCACTAACATGATTGTGTGTACTGGAAGTAAAGTGTGGTGAAGCCCCCCTATGCTGCCTTTGAGGACGAGATAGGAAACATTATAACCAACACCACATAAGAATAATCAACAACTTGCAGTGGCTGCTACATTGGAAGATTGACATGCATTGGGAATGCCAAATGTGCAGTCACGTTATTGATGATGACATAACAATTGATAACTAAGTAAAGTTTATATTTTCGAATTTCTTTCTTGAAGTGATTATTGTTTTCCATCAATATCTCATAATCCAGCTTAGGCTCTCAGACAATAAATCTCGAGGCATGGCATCCACCCGGAATGCTAGAGGTCATGGGTTCAGACCCTGGTGAAGGCTGGGATTTTTTCACGTTGAAATATAGTGGTTCCCCTGGTCTCTGAGTAGCAAGATCAGACGCCCGTTTGTATTGCTGTGCAAGTAAAAAATTCCTTTGCAGTCGGAAATCGAAAAGAGTAGCCTAACACGCCGCCCAGGCAAAATTTAGAGTTACAAATTTACCCGAAATTATTTCAGGATCCTCACTGGAGTTTGTGCACTGCACTGAGATTTTTCAGACTCAGGCCTGAGTGAGAAGTAGAACAGAGCACCTAAGGGTTACTGCCCTTGTGCTGCAATGTTAAACTGTTGTTAAAGCCTTCAACGTTCAGCCCTTTGTAGATGTGTTCATAATCTCAAGCCAGCTTTACTTCAGTTAAGCGTTAAGAGGTAAGGATTATCTGAGTGTTCTTTCTAAAGAATTGTATAAGTCTTGTATTACTTCCTCTATTCTCGCTACTGTCTACAACAGCACCTCTCAAGGCATCTCATCTCTGGTGTTATGATTTTTCACTCATTAATTGTAGTAAGGGTAGCACAATGCTGGTCACAAATTAGTTATTAGAATATTTGTCCTGGTTTCAGAAGTGGTGTTAGCTAGGGGGTCTACGTGGCAAAGCAGATAAGCTCTTTGCCTCACGCTCTAAAGGTCATGAGTTTATTTCGCAATTGTGTAGTTCTGTTCGTAAGTAAAATTTAGGCAGAACCCTGGTGATTGTCGCTAGAGCTACAGTGTTTTGCTTTGTGTGATGCTCTCAGCAGGCAGCCAACCATTCTGCAGACAGACACACAGAGAGAAAAACCCAGCCACAATTTGGGATAAAACCCAGTGCAATTAAGTCGATCCTCCCGACTTCAACTTTTAGTGGTACTAGCTGTCCTAATAGCCAAACTGCTTGTGCAAACTGAACAAGAATGAGAAGGGAGGCTGAGACATCAGTTTCACTATCAAGTATTGCTTTTAATTTCAAGACTCAGGCAACCTAACAGGTACTGCAGTTTTAAATATTTACTGCAAACACTAGACAATAGATAACACCAGTAGGTTTGACACTGCAGCAACATGCAAATTAATACTACAAAGTTGTGTAAATAACCCAAACATTGAGTTTTCCGAGTATTAGACATAACTCTCTCCTTATCAGACTACTTGTGATCAGGACATTTTCTGGTGGTATGCAGTACTGGCACCATTTTGTAAGCATCAGTACCTATTTTTATACAGTGGTGATTACTAGAAGAGCAGCCATAGTGTAGTGGCTAGATGCTCACTGTTGATCTGAAGAATGTGGCTTAAGGTCCTGAAGGGGCAAACAAAAATGACTTTGGCTACTAGGTCGACCCAGCCTTAAATGGGTACCTGCTAAAGTCCTGCTAAGTAAAGGCGACCAACGTGATGTTGACCAAATCACCGACTGGCTGCTGTTTGGTCTATGAAATATAGTTAGTTGGTTAGTCGACAGACTATCCTCACTGCACGTTGAACCACACAGTCCAAAAGTGCTTGAATCCCCTCCTCAGTAAATTCCGCTGCGTGTAGTGGCTAACAACACTAGTTCTATGTTGGTTTATTATTCTTCTTTGACTACCAGTGTAGTGTTCTTGTTTGGCGATACACGTTAAACATGTTGTTCTTGCAGTCTGACCATGGTTGCAGATTCACAGTTCTCAGTTAGTTTACGCAAACATCTGAGCTCTTAGAGCATTCAGTATATCAGCCGGGTCCATGGCTTGTCCGGCTTTCACAGTAGCCTTACCTGCAAGTCTATTAGCTTGCTCATTTCCTTGTACCCCTACAATGAAATATATGTCCAGCCCTAAATGCCTGAGAGCATGGAAAAGGGTCCAAAGGGTGATTATTACTAGCACCTTTTTTGACTCTATGTAGTGAGTACCTGCATCTATTTTCTAGAGACAGAAAATCTCAACTTCTGATACTATGCAAACTTTACATGAGAAGTGATGACATAGAAAATAGAAAAACTTACTCTCCCTCTTTTGAAGATTGTTTTGTAAACTCACTCCGCTTTTCAAATGGACAGAGACCAGGGCCTGCAGTGATTGCATTTGTTGACAGAATAACCTCTAACCTTCCCACTTTATCATTATTTTTTGGCAAGCATGCCATAAGTACGTGTCTTCCAATATCTTTATGTTGTGGAGTGAACGAATGTGCTATAACTGCATCAGTTAAATCAATATTTCCTTGTTTTATATCTAACATTACTTTATGTAAATGTTTTTCATCAAAAAGTTTCCAATAAAACTCACAATTCTTCACATTTGTGAATTCATATTCCACTTCAGGGAAAAGAGGAAACCCCACCATTATCGTATTTGGTAATTTCTCTAACTTTACGCTTGGAGGATTGTAGCAAACTGCTATCTCCTCCTCCCAAACTTTCAGTACTGCACCATCAACCCACGCCTCCTTGTTTGATATGGACAAATCTAAAACCTGACCATTGTGAATGACCTCAATCGGAACTAGGTCGGATTGAGATTCTATGCTTGCTTCACTGTCATTTGTTGCTTTTGCTGTCTTCTTTTGCTTAGATTTCTTGTTTACCTTTTTACTCAAATTCAGACGTAGTCTTTCTACGGCTAACCCTAATTCTTCGTGTTTTAATCTATTTAAATTGAACGTCTTAATGGAGCTGGCGCCACTTTCTTTTTGTATTTTCAAATCTAAGGATATCAGTAAACGATCGTCGTCTTCAAAGCTTTTCACAAAAACAGAAGACATTCTGGTTGAGTAATGTCTTGTGAAATATCGCTGTTGTAGAATGGCTAGATAATTCCTAGCTTTACAACTAGAGAGGCGAGTTCTTACAGAACAAGAAAGAAGTTGTTGCAGTACGTGTAACGATGACATCGTCCACATTCCACATTTGCTTACAACCGGAAAGCAACGGAGCTCGGAAATGCCAGATACGAATGCTGCTTTCAGCCAAACCGGCTCTTATTATTTATATGACTGTCTGAGTTAAGCGTTACAAGTTGAAGCATCTTCACGACACGTCCAAGGGTTCTCAGATTACTTCTTTAACATATACATTCGTGTCACGAAGTGAATAAATAGTGCCAGTCCTATGTTCTGCTGTTATCTGTCCTTCTACTTCTTGCTTGTCTGTCTCTTTTGATCAATACCAAGGGTAACCATACTAACACCGAGCTAAAACAGGACATCCAACTAATTTGGACATTCCAAGCCAATCAACCCCCCTCCTCCCCCTCCCCCAAGAAAAAAAACCCCAGAATGTGAGATTTCCACTACTATTATTATTGATGATTGCTGAACTAATACATTTTATTATCTAATACACTTTACGTAAACTAATTTATTTTAAGAACATACGATTATATAGACCTATAAATTGCATAAGGCATATAAATTATGAGTATACTTTACTTCCAAGGCACAGTCTACTTATTATTAATGTTCTAATATTTCCAGCACTACGCACTATTAAAGAGTTTAGTTGTGAACTGATTACAACACATACATTTGCCCTGTTGGTAAACAAGGATGCTCACGAACACTCGGGTGCGGGTGCAGACAGACTGGCTCGATCTGCACTACTGGGTCGTGAATTAATACGTGACAAGGCAGATGTGGCCAAGGCCCTTTGGGAACAAGCAACGGAATCAGCAGAGATAGAAGATTATTATAGCCTGGAGAGAATGCGGCTTCTGTGTGTAACCAGATGGTCTGGAATGCTCAATAAACCCAGAGGAATGGCAAGACGAACATATAACCAGATTGTGAACGGTACCATCAGTTTTAGAACTCTGCGCTGGCTGCTGAGAAGGAAGACGAAAATGTCCCGATTTCTGAGCAGGGTTGCCAAATAAAAAACTTCATTTTATGCCAAACCATTACCCAAAATATGCAAGAAAATGCCAAATAGTGTAACGTACTCATTTCACATCAAAAGCTCTAGATTGAATTCTTCACTGTCATCCTCACTGGAACCAGTGGAAGACACAGCGTAAACCTTTTCGGATGTAAGATCTTTAAGCATTTTCTCAGATGGGGTGAAGTTTTTGCAACTCATCTATAATGATGGCATATTTCTTGTTCCGAAAATCATCAATAAGGTCATCATCCTTGTGCATGCGATATCATATTTTTTATTAGGCACGAACATTTAGTTCTATGCAACTGTATGTGCCTCAATGTACTCCCCCGGCCACGCGCTTTCATGATTTCACTTATATGGTCAATTGTGTGTATCGCACAATGGGAGGTCATGCCTACAGCTAGTTACAACTTTGCTGCCTTTAACTTTAACATTACTCGGCCTAGGAAACGTTGTAATAAGCTGTGACTGGCTTTTTGACGGAGTTTTCATCCTGTGTTGTTTGGATTTTTTATGATTTGAAATACTACTCATTCTTGGTGCAACAGTGCACTGACAGTTTTTCAATATGCTGCTTCTGATCCGTCTAAAGATCTTTTGAGCCACGAGTATGTTTTCTTCCAGTTACTATTATACTTGCGATGTCATAAGATGCTTTCCTTTTTTTTTTTTTTTATGAGTTGCCATTGGTAAAAGTAATAAAATCTATCACAGATAGAACTAGATCTATATCCTCTCTATTTTCTGTCCTTAAGTAGTTTCTGAACAGTCTGAATAACTTGGGATCAGTGGTGGGTTTGGTTTTATTTCCCGCATTTATTCAAGTATGTTAACATTAATTACAGAGGGCCTTTGTTTATTAAAGTCACGATCCGTTTAGGAGACAACAAATACAATAAGAAATGGCACGAATCTCCGTTAGTCCGTGCCAGTACATCACAACAAAGTCAAACTGAAATAAAGATATTAACTGTAGGTCTACATTGCTTTCAGTAAATCTGTGTGTTTCTAGCGGAGGAACATTGAAGCAAATATGAGCACATCTTGATAAGAAAAGCCAGGAAAACCCTAAATATGCCAAAATATGATAGTTCATTATCTTATGTCAGTTCAGTTTCAAATATGCCAAATTTGGGGAATCTGGCATCAAAAATGGCAATATGGCAACCCTTGTTCTGTGAAGTCAGTTCTCGACTCAACTCAACTCAGCTCAACGCGCACGCGCGAATGCTTGTAAATTCGCTATTTCAGGTTGTCTGAAAACTTACGCCGGAGAAAAACAAGAAAATGTGAACCTGTGAACAGAGAAGACATACAAATAATAAAATATATATAACCCCTTTCATCGCAGACATAAATGTAAATATCATCGTAGTAATTATTTTTAACTTGGTTTTTTTTTCTCTGTCTGGTTTTTTGCTTTCTTAACGTCAAGTTCTTCTTGTTATTAGTTAAGTTGAGTTGAGTATTTCTTGTTCTTATTAGTTTTGCTGTTGATGTTGTTGTTTTTCTTTTTCTACTACTACTACTTCTCCCCGATCACCTCTACCCCCACTACTTTCTCCTCCCCTACTCTTTCTTCTGTTTATCCCCTGGTCTCCCTCCTCCGCCTCCTTCTTCCCCTTCCTCCTCTTCTTTTTTCATCAGCATCCTCTTCCTCTTCTTATTTTTTCACTACTGGAATAGACGCCCCAGTCAGCTCACACCAGTCCCTTTACAAACTTAGTTATGGTTACTTAGATTCTACAGCCGCTCTCTACGTGCGAAGGCACCTTATAAACAGTTGATAAAGAAAAGCATGAAACTGACCATGAATGGTAAGCTGCTTGTTTCAGAAAACGATACCAAACAGTTCACTCTTTACAAGCATTTGTAAAGTTGGTGAAGCCATTTTATACGTTATTATTCACAAACTCATTTGTTTCAAACGAGGAAATGCAACATGAAACACACGCACACACAAATAAAAACTAATGTTATGGCAAACTTTACACACACACAAACACAGACGCACACAGGCACAAGCAAACATAATTCACTCCTAATCAGGCTACACTACGCATACATTGGTTAAGAAGAAATGTTTGCACAGAACAATGATAAACATTGTGACAAATTATTGTAACAACGTAACACAGAGAAAACCTGAGGGTTTACAAATAAGCTTATTTGTTTATTAACTTTAGCAAACGAATATTAGAGAAAAAAATTACAACAGTGAGTCAACAAGACACATATTGCCTCCATCCATTTTCACCCACCCATCTTTTCAGCCACTTATTAAAAAAATCATTTATTCGTTTATCGATACTCCTTCATACATACCTACACCTATCCAACCATCACTTCATAAATCCATCCATCAATGCATGCACACACATAACACATTCATACACAGGCACATGCATACAGACAGACAGACATACAGACAGACAGACATATTGAAACAAGTAGAACTGGTCATTATTATTCACGAGTGAACGTGAATTTAAAAATATGATTTTGAACAACGAAACAAATACTAGCAACACTGGCCATCTCCACGATACTGCTAGCACACTAACTTTGAATAAGGGGGAAAATGGATTAGGTCTCTGGTGAGGAATATATATGATATCACTATAGAGTGTGCTTATTTAAGAGTTGTATAAAGCCTATTTCTATGTGCGGATTGAAACTAATGTTAATGTTAAATTAGGAATCGACACCACAGCACTCGAGACATTCTCATAAACGCTCTGTCTCCATCTTCAGCAGCAAGAGCAGAGTTCGAATTCCAGTGGTACCCCTAGCAGGCTGACTGGAAATCCGTCTCGCCTTTCCTTTGAGTGCGAATTGTCGACCAGATCCCCTGGTCACTCCTCGCAGTACTATTCTTTTTTAGATCATGATGATCCATATGTGCCTCCGCAGTGTTCACTCACCCAAAAGGATTGAAACTATAAAGACACAATGTAAGTTAAAACTTTACATATGTATCAGATTAGAGGTAGCGATAACAAACGCGAATACATGCGTTACAATTACCACGGACCTTGTGAGTAGAAATCACCGAATCAAACAGATAAAGAGTAATTCAACACGCCCCTTGTGAGTAGAAATCACCGAAACAAACAAACAAATGAGTAATTCAACATGCACCTTGTGAGAAGAAATCACCAAATCAAACAGACAATGAGTAATTCACTGTAGTGGTCTGTGACTTCTGTACACCCAACGTTTAGTAGCCATCAGCTGCACTCGTTTTTGAGTTCGGGATTTTCGGCGAATTCGCAAGATACCTTTTTCTTTCATTTGATCCATTCACACCCGGTCGTATTCAAGATGTGCCTAGTTGGTATTTGAATAATTTTGATGAGTTTTTCGTTTGTAGAATTTCATTGCGTTACCTTGTAGTGTTTCCGTGAATGTAGTGAAGATGCTGTTAATAAAAAGTAATGTGAACAAGCAATGAAAATATACGAAAACTGTTTTTAAAAAAAAATAATTATACGGTATGTGAAATTTGTGTGTATAATTTCATTTAAAAATGATTAGGAAGTATAACTGTACCGAGGTTGCGCTATTGTGTTATGTAGGGACTATTGTTGATTCTCATGTGCATTTGTCAAACATCTTGTGTTTAACACTTTCAGTACCAGACTGCAGTTACGTCAGCACTTCCGTCTCAGAGTTTTGTACTTTAGAGCAGTGGTTTTCAACTTGGGTGAGCACACGCCCCGGAGGGGGGTGGCGGCCCAAGTAAGTTTAAAGGTGGCGTTAAGAAATTTTGAAATTGAGTGCATATGCACTTGTAGTGATCTGTTATATTAAAATGTTTCCCCAGTTTACTAAACTAAAGATCCCTTTTCATGACTATTGGCGCATCAGGCATATAGGAAGA